GCCATTTGTCGTTGTTGTCACCATTTGATAGCAAAGATGGTCGCAGAAGTGTTAAGTGGTTGTAGTGGCAAAGATGGCTACAACGGCGGTAGTAACAACACTGGAACGATGTTAGTAACGATAGTGGTTTTTATCACAATTTTTAGATATATAATTATATTCATTTGAAAATTTGTATCAAACTTATGTCAGAGATACATAAAGAAACTGTGTTAATTTCAAAAAATTATAGTATTACATATCTTTTGTTATATGAAATATTATTTTCCAATTTCTATATTCTTTTGTTACGGTTAAAATGGGTTCAAATTTTTGTATATTCGGAGGTAAAACTTTTCAATTTTTTAGATAAATTTGACACATCACTAGCCCAAAAGACTACTTCATTAGTTTTTATAATTTGAAGTTGATCTTACATAAATTTGGTAATTGGAAAGTACTTTTGCGTTTTTCCCTGGTTATAATATATATGAAGATTCAACGAGTATTTCCAAATATTTCAAGTTCATGTATTTGAGTTATCATATGCTACCATGAATATTTGGAAGACAGAAGATATATCAAAATCTCATGTGGGGACTTAAATCATAGACATTTAGATATTTTCCTGTTATTGTAGACAAATATATCAGTTTTTTATTGTAAATCGTAATAATCCTAACGTGTGTTGTTATCAACGTTAATTACAAATTCCTTATATTAAACATGTGATGAGAAGAACAGACGAATTGTTACAATTTCGGTTTCATAAAAAGAAAACAAATTTAAATAAGCAAGTTAAAATTTCTAAGAACATCGCATATTGATAAATTGAGTATATGAGTATAGATTCTAAAAGAATTTTTTTTTTAATTGTTCTTCAACCTAAAGGAATTATTCTAATATCATGGTGTTGGGGCGTCATCAAATTCCAAAGTAACAGTATATATCACCATAGTTTTAGAAACCTGATTTGATGTTTTCTAGTATACGATTCTTGATAGATATCCCAAAATAGGTATTATGTATTTTTCCACTTCAAGTAGTCTTAAGTTTGAAGCTCTTGGTATTGAAATCGTTATATGATAGCTTATAAATCCCCACCGATATGGCACAAAGTATGTAGGGAAATACGAAATTTTTTCTAAGGACATTGATATATATATTTTCTTTTTTTGATAAACAGTACATTGATATGTTACGTATATAATCCATCATGTTTAGCCATTTTTATATTCTATACGTTGTCAATGGTAAAAAATGTGACCGTGGTGGTCGACCGCAGTGGTGATGTCGAATACAAATGTGGCATTGCATGCATAATGAATTCATAATTATATA